TTTGTGTTGTCCAAGTTGTCTTCGGCTAATGTTATGACATGTCGTCAATACCGACACAGGGCCATATGTAAGCTAGCGTTCTAATATCGACTATGGCGCCTTCGAAGAACATTGTCAACACAATGGCGTGCTTAATTTCTTCAGTTTTAGTTGGCACGCGAAAAAGGCCAATACATTCGCGCACACTATTCCTTGTTTGGACCTTAGACTACTATAATTAGTTATACGGCTTTAACCTGCTAAATGATCGATTTGAGAGCGCAAAGCACTTCTGGATTCGATGTTGGCACTGCCACTGGAAGTTAGCGATCTTCACGTACATATTGGCTGAGATTCATGCTACTTTTTACTAAGATTGTCGCAGATTTGCCGTTCTCACATACACTACTGTCTAATGAAATGGTGATCCCATGCTTAATGTTGCATTAGGCAAAGTATTTTGGTGGTAATCGTTTTAAGAGTTAGAGAACGCCAAAGATTTGATGATGTTATGCGGTAGTACACGTATGGCATTATGAATGTAGCGGTCGCTGTTAGTCCAGTCACCAACTTGCGATAGCCAATCGAAATGGCAGAAAATAGATTCTTTTTTAGCCCTCTCTACTTGACCAAGGCCATCCATTGCAGACGCGGCGATTATAACAATCTAATTTGACCTTCTGCCAACGGGCAAGAGGTCGATCTGTTCTTATGATGCTGATTAAAGGATCCGATATATTCAAAAAGCGCGCGTAAAAACATCCGCTAAACAACGTTTCAATCACAAGAGACTTTGATGCAATATTGAGAGGCCCTGCTATGTGATGGAGCAGGCCATTTCGGTGAAAAAAGACTCGACTTCTGCACTGAATCCGCCGATCCAGTGTTAACTATAAGCACACAGTTAACCAGATATGTATACTTGTCCAACTTATGCTGCCTGTTAACTCTTACGTCGCGTTTCTCCATAAACAACTAGATCGCATTTCGCTTCGAGTAACTATATAGCAAACTGTGCTTAAAATACGTTTTCAATCAGATCTTCCTACCCATATCTGTTCAGCTAGTCGTATGCTCAACCATTCTCTTTTAGTTGGTTTAACGTTCACCAGCATGCGGAAACTTTTTACTGCTTTTTATTACATATCTATATTTATGTGGTTGTGACGAAAGAAAGCCATGTTGCTCATTACGTATTGGAGGCCATAAATGATATGATGAAAATATTTGCGACGTTGTTGCAAAGTAAAACATTTACATATTTTCATTCACTTAATACGTAAATAAACGTTACATAGCAGACAGGACGTATGCACATTTTTATACAATTTCGTGTCTTCAGATGGCGGAATACGTCGCTGGGCCTGGTATGGTTAGTTTTGGCTTCTTGGAATCGACTACTATCGGCTTCGGCGACACACTACATAAAAAATAGTCGGCCGACTTCTCGTTTCAACAGACAAAGTCAAACGGAGATTTCCCGATCGCGATTGCAAACTGTAATCATGTCAGATTGGGCTGGGTTGGGCATTTATTGACGCAGACTATAAATCATTACCGATTTTTAGCGTTTTCTGAAAAGACGCTTCCCGTCAAAATGAGTGAACGTTGTATAGATAATGAATCAACTGATAATATCTAATAATCGGACATTCATATATATAAAAATCGGATAATAACGGATTTAATAATGCAGGCTAGGTCGGAGACTCCTTACGATACAATCCAATTAAATAATTGTATTATTATTATTTAAATTTATGCCGAATGGTTTAATTAATAGTAGTGTCCATTCATTTTACGCATACTGAACGGTTTGGACGACGTTTCAACGCAGATACAATTTTAGAGACGAAAATCATCTTTCTACAAATTTCGTTCCGTTTACGAACCTTATTAACGTGATGAAGTTGTACTTACTTATATTCCTTATTCCTTATATTCCGAAGTAGCGTGACCAAATTTGCTCAAGCCCTTGTAACTATATGCTTACTGTAGAAAGATTAATGACAAAATTGGTAGCATACATCGAAACTGTGCCCTTTAAGCAGAAATGTAAGATTCTAAAACCCTGGTAAAATACATGGCGACAATATCTGTCGGTACATGAACAAGCACTATACACTGTAAGGCAAAAAACAAATTTCAATCAAGCTTCATAATTACTTTTAAAAAAGATAAACTGCTATTTATTAAGAGTCGTTTTTATGCAGATTTGTGATGTCAGTATTTAATGGTTTCGCCAACGTTAGTAGAACACAGACGATGGCCAAACCCACTCCGACTGACTGATTCAGAGTTATTTGAGGATTTGCGAACATCGTAAATGGCTGTCAGTGGAAAAAATGCACTGCAGTTAATCAGATTTCGGTAGTTGGCGCCTTCTGTTACGTGCAATAGACCTTACGACCACTTGATATTTCCTGTATGTATAATACATTATATATATGGGTTCGTTTGACTGACAATTGAAGCTTACGTATGAGGAATTTACTACGGACCAAAGGCATTTGTCTCTAGCAGTACTCGTGGAGGCCTGATGTAAAAAAAATACTCGGCTCTTTTCTAAAACAAACCTCCGTTTTTTCGGTGTGAAAAAATCACTTTGGCTATATGGTCTCTTTATGTATATACACCGATTTAATATATACTATTCAATGCCAAAGGTGTTTAAATGACGATAGGTATCAAACGATAACTTTGAGCTTGTTCGATATAATTATGATTCTAGCAAAATAGTAACGATGGAGCCGAAAGCTCGTGCTATCAAACTGTGGACTACAAAGGCTCGTTCAAAAGTTGTTCGAACTAGTTAGTAACTTCCAATAGCGGATAAAAAGCGGTATTGACGACTCTTCTTTGAGAATGTCAATTCCCCGAATTAGCTCTGTGTAGCTTCGTGACTAGGTTATCGTCTTTCAACAGCAGGGTCACGCGAGGCAGCGATTTGGTGGTCTTCGCAGTTAGAGTGACTAACGTATACTACGCAGAGATGTCAAACGATGAGAACGAACGAATGAAATCATTTTAGCCGGGAGCAGCAAAGCTTGTGTAGAAGATAAACAGCCATAGATTTACCTCAGCAATGACCGTATTACACTGTGATACGCAAAACGATCTCCAATGACGATCTGTGAAGTCGTAGCAGTCTTTATCGGGGAAGTATTCTACTCTACTTAGTGAAGATAGTGCCGAGTACTGAAAAAATTACAGATAACGCAGGAACAGTCAACAGCTTTTTTCATATACGAAACACGAAGCAAAACTGTTTTTGACTTATAGTTCCCGGATGATGTGGGAAAGCCTATTTCCGCAAATAACCATTGCTCGCATTGAGGCTTCTGAGCTGCGGTCAATTTTCATCAGAACAATAGATAGGAGGTTGCATGATATCTCCTAGATGAAAACTGTGGTTTTTTTTTATCAGTAATAGTAATACACTTATATATATTTACAGTGGCATTTAATTAAAGAACACATGAAAGGTATAATCCTGTGTAAGGTCTATGGTACCGAACAATTGGTCGGCGATAAAATAATACAACGAAAAAAACTCTTTCGTAGTATTGTACCTATGATCGTCATGTCCATCTCAGCCCAATCCAATGAGAAAATTGGTTCAATTCCACCAAATGCCTCCTCTTAAAAATACGAGACACGGTTCAACGGAAAATTAATGATAATAATTATTATACTATATTAATTATCGATATTATTGTTGCTATATTTAAACAACTCTGAACGATTTGATATTATTGCAGTCATTTTTTTATGACACTTAACAGCTAAATTGACTGACGTAGATTATAATTCTAGTACCACACTGATTTGAGATAGAATTATATAGTATTTATATAAGAATATTTATATAGTATTTATATATACGGAAAATTAAGGCCGATTTACCAAGTGGCTGTATTCATATTGCCACTACAATGTACAGACACAATCAGAAAAAATTTCTATTAGTTTTCCTGACTTTTTTTTTACCGGTTAACCAAGTATTTTTGGCAGACCTCATAAGTTGTCCGACCAAGCGACATAAGCTAAGGCAGAACGCTACTTATATATGTACGTATATATATATATCATAGCAAGGCGTAACGTCTCGTTTTTATTGTAGAAGGGATATAGCCCACAGATATATAGCCTGCCATTGTCAGTTCATAGTCAGATATGTCATCTAAGACGATATCAAAGAGCCTATCAGGTTGTGTTACTACTCTAAAAGATTATACTTATCGCTAGGAATGGTATACGATGAACTATGAAGCGTTCTCCAATGATATGTAGGGTGTCATTGATAACAGCTAGTCACTATCGGTTCAGTTGCTAGGTCATGGCATGGGGTATGCGTAGATATACATAGATTTACGTCCTAAATTCTGTGTTGGGAATTATTGGAGTTCGTTAGGTCTCAAGTAAATTCCGTAAACCGTATGAGGAAAAACCACCGAAACGATAGTAGCCGCCAGGTGAGCAGGTTTTTCTTATCCGTAATGGTAAAAAAATAAAACGAATGTAATGGATACATTCACGCTAATAAGCACTAGTACGATAGAACGTTCGAAGTCTGGCGGAAGACACTCGACTCGCTGTAGTCTACACCGCCGATTTGCCTTAAACTACTGTCTGTAAAAAATAATTCAAGTTTAACTGTAATCCCTGATCAATCCCATAACTAAGTTGGTATCATCGTTATTCCACACGTCATAATCACTATCAATCCTTAATAATAGCAACATCGTTAAATGATGACAGCCATTTAGGCGCAATACATGTACGTGTGAGAAACGCTACAGGCCAAACTACAGGTCGCATTTTAATGTATAAGATGTTTGTTTTTTACATTTTTGAAATCTTCTCGTCTCTGTAGAGACGAAATAAGCATTTTGATAATGTCCGCTTGAAGTTGGCCTGTTACTATAGTACGGTTACTGTGAATAATGACTTAGTACCTATTCGGCGCTAATTAGGCATGCTGCTGCTATTGGGTAAGAAAAGATTTAACGCTTTTCTTGACAAAATGTCCTAGTTCAAGTAGCAAAAATAGGCTTTCAATTTCATCCAATAGGCTGATATTCAATCTGCCAGCCTTGCTGTCACCGGTTTACTGTCGTTATTTGCTCCGACGTTTTTTGAAACGAGGTTTTGAAAACCGAGCAGTTCGACAATAGAGATCAACTATTGCACCGCTTCTAGATAGATTACCTAGCGTACTAAAATTATTTGAAGGAGTTATTTTCTAATAGGTTGGTGGTTTAATAGGTGTATATTGGATTTTTAGAGAGATTCAAAACTGAAAACGAACAAATTGATTTGAAAACCAGTCCGTGTAAAGGTCATAAAAACAAAAAAAAAAACTTTTATAGAAACAATGAGAATTGAAGTGTATCATGTTTAATAACCATTCAGTAATCAGTGACAAAGATGTCGGGTGTATCTTGTAGGCTTTTTGTGAATGGAACAAGTGTCTCTAGATAGGTAAAGTTTGTCGTTTCAACGAAATCACTAGAAAAAAATTGCGCAGATCTGCCTGTAAACATGGCTGAACCTTCCGATTACTTAGTATAGGCGGGATGTAATGATTTGGGATAACCGTAAAGTCAGTGTAAGGTAACAGTGAGGTGGACAAAGATCGACGGTGTCAGTTCGACAGACAAACGAAGCTGGAAGTCGAAGGCTTCTATTCAATCCGTACTATATGCAACTATTACATTTGCGTAAATCTATGTTGTCTTAGCAATATTCTCTAAGCGTCTATTGCGCATCCCTATCGCTTATCACCGCAAATCCATTTAGCGCGCATCTATCTGTTGCTTGGACATAGCGCCCGTCCTGCAAACCGTAACCGGATATCTTGGCCCTATCTGGTCCATTTTTGATTCAATAGTTCCGTTAAAAAAAAACAAGGAATACGCTTATTAAACCGTGCAATTTAGTAGTAGCCCAAAAATAGCTCTTCGTTCCAGTTTCAGACCTTGGGTGATGAACGATCGCAATCCTGAAACAATTAGAGAAGGCCATTGTGCTATTACATATATCGATTACTCGTCATTGTCCTTCTTCTAGCCACAGGTCCACTTAAAGGATTAACCGTTTTCTAGCCTTTGTATTATTGTGAAGCAACGCTTTAACTCTTTTACCGCTATCCTTTTAATTCTGCGGTGGGTTTTACGATCACATTTCCACTCATAGAGAAAATTTTATGCCCCTAAAAACTAATATTCGAGTGTTCGAGCTTGACGGAGCATCACAAGAGATGTGACGTTTGCGAGCTTAGTATCCATACGATGGCTACCATAGCGCAAAGCAGTCCATAGTGGAATTAACTGCAGTAAACGACTTCACAAAAAACTACGCGCATTCAGCATCCTTCACTCACTCGCCTATCCATCTTCGATCATGAGGGATGAAATTATAGGGAAATACCTGTACTCTCGAAGTTTACTAGCTTTTTCTTGTTTTGCGTGGTCTCTTGCTTTACGAAGCTCCGTGTGCCTCCTCTCTAGTCAGATATGCTCCTTCTCTTTACCTTCTTCGATGGACTCTGCGCAGTGATTTTTAGACGATAGCATCAGCCAGCTCTACGTTGTATATCCGCAAATTATCTTGCTCATACCGTTCAATGAGAGCAAAACATGACCTGCTCCGTTTATTAGTGCAGCAAACTCACACGCTGTGTCTGTTTGATAATATCGCTTTTCATCCTTCATCGTCAACCTCAATCAACAGAATAGAGAAATACGTATTCTATGGCAAGCATGGAAACCAGACGCACACACATGTAAGCACAAACAGTGTGCTTTTGTGCACCTCCTTACGTTTTTAAGTCTGTATGGACCTGTTACATGTTACTATGCTGTTTTCTGATGGCCCGCATAGCCTGCGTAGACCAGCGGCTCGCATGTTACTGGACCAGCAAAATGTGACTATAAAAAATAGTCATTAAAGAAAGAGTGAACAAACACAGAAGAGACAAACAACCAACGCTTGCCCTGTCTCCAATAATTTTTTTTCGTCGTCGAAAATGGATGCTTGATCATCCTGGCCCGAATTAGCAAGGTCATGTCGCAGTGTTTGTTGCCCGGCATTAGCATGCGCCTGTGCTTAGCCGGCGGCTCTTTCCACTTCAGGTCATTGTGGTCTGGTCATCTGCCCTCTCCAGCAGCAACGGGTCAGCGGCCTTTCGTGTCGGTTCTACACTAGCCAGGCTCAGACTGCACTCCCGAAAGGGTAAGAGTACCTCTCCCGCTGTTCTGTGGAAGAGAACGTACGCATGACCTGTGTTGTATGCCCAGGAGAGAACGGTGGAGAGAACAAGCAACAGCTGACTGACTGATGGCAACTGGCAGCCCAGAGGCAATAGACCTCTACAGGGCTGGGGTGTCAAGTACGCCAGGCAAAGACTCAGGTGGTGCGGGACGCCGCCTTGGGAAATGCCTGGCTTGACGGATTCAGTGTACACGCCGCTTAACCACGCTTTTCGTGAAACAGGTTTGTGTATGGTTTCTCTGTTGACCATTTTCATAGACTCGAAAGAAGCTCGAGAACCTATAATGTTTATTTAATTTACTACGCATAGACGAAAAGGAAGTGGCCAGTTGTTGTTTCAGGCATCTTTGAAGATGTGGTGCCAGTTGAGGCAGGCTGAAACAGCTGACTGGAAGGCTCGTGTTCGATATCAGCTGTTTGTTACGGATAGACCACGCTACGGCTGTGATGGCTCCGTGTATATATGCTAAAGTAGAAACACTATTTTCTCTTTGTTTTGCGAGAAATAAGATATGGATAATGATATCGCTCTGCTCGTACAGGAGATTGGCTTTAAGTATGCACTGCAGAAACTCAACAGAGATATTGTTGAAGTAGCGTAAATAGGTGAACGTAATTAGGAATAGAGCTGTACGTAAGGATGAACGTACCTTATCAGCATTATTTTAAGGCATTCATTGTCGTTTTTTTCGTATATATATATATATATATATATGTATATGTAAGTGACCATAACTGTCATTAAAGGTATCGTCTGTCATGCCTGTCGAGATTTACCATGTAACAAAAAATCTAATAAAATTTTTGTTTTAAAAAAACATTAATCACATTATCGGCTTCTTCAAGTGACCAAAATTCGACGTAACCGTTTGGCCTAAAGTGGTATTAATGTGGCTAGACCGTTCATAAAATTGGTGTACTTCATTAGACAAAATGAAATCTTTGGTTTCCAGTACAATCAAATTTATGTTAAAGCAAGTAATACCATAAAAAAATAAGGATAGTCACGCTTTGCATATGATTATATGCCCTGAAGGTGTTTTTGATCGGCTATATGGTTCAATCGCTAATGTTGCAGTAATATAAACCTACTTCTGCATTCGTACAAATAGATCTATTTACAATGAATGAATATGACATTGCCATCATAATTGTAGTTTTTTTTTATTACTGCCATTTATGTGTGTGGATTGGCTGCAGAGCCCGACAGACCACTTTGCTTCTCTCTATGTAAAATGATTTCACAAACGTCCCCTATGGAACTCCCAGTGAAAGCTTACTCTCAAAAATAGCTTAAAGAATAAGAAATCCATATGACACTATCTATTACATAATGCCTTTTAGTGCACTATGTAAAGGCATTGTGTAATAGACTGAGAGGCGATAATGTATTTCTATAGCAAAATAATCCATGTATGGAACACACGTCAGTCGCATGACGACCGTATAACAAAGGGCTGCGTCCCCGTTCTTACGTCGCAGCTCTGTTTTGACTTGTACGTCACGTGTGCAACTATCTCAATTTAGTAAATAAAATGTATATAATCACTGCTAATATATATTATGTAAGTTGTTTTTACAGAAGATGTCAACAGCAATGGATCGGCACCGAGCGGCTGTGCCGATATTAATAGGGTCGAGTCTGAAACGACAGCTGACTTCTGTGGGAAACTTTGCTGCGCAGGCACAGGTCCTCAAAGGTAGGTCTATTGGTGATAAGGACAAAGGCGATTGTCTTTTGGCAACATCATAGAAAGACATTCATCTTCTATTTTTGGCAAATGCACTGTTGTCACCGTTGCACAAACCTAGACGTTCAGGAAAATTGTTGTGGATTTTAGCGGTCCATGGTTTGTTTTGTACACCGTATTTGTAGCGAAAAGTACAAGTAAGAGCCCATCGAAAATAAGATAGCATATTGCGCCATAACTGGATGCGGTAAACAAGTTTTAAAAATTTGTTCTATGAAATGAAGTTAAACTTGCTGTGAAATAAGTCAGAGACGATCTGTAACAACCTTGCGTCATAATTTAAATCGTGAAGGCTACGTGCAGACACGTAGCATGATCGTCGATCGGATCGCCGTCGGCACAAATCGTGTTTATTTTCACGCAGTGTGAATAGATCATAGCTAAAGCCTATGAAAGACACCATGTTCCGCTAACATCGAATAGTTGCTAACAGCTACCTTTTGCGGAACATGAATCGATGGATCATGAAATTACTATTTCCACTTCGATTGTATTCTTTTTTGTTTGCTTCTGTCTTTACAGTCATATGTTTCAATTTTATTACTATAGATGGCGTTACTGTATTTTTACCGTAGGTACGTGTCATGCGGCAAGCATCAAAATCTGGTGATATTATCGACATACTATCCTAATTAATTGTTAAGGCCGCTCTCGGTTAGCTCACGGCTTGGGCGCCCGACATGGGAATAGATGTCGCCAGAAGCACGGCCATCTGTTCCGAATTCCGGCCTACGAATAGGCGTCTATAGCAGATGATATACAGAGCATGCAGTTAGCTCGAACTAATTTATAATTCGAAATAGACAGTTAACAAGGGCCGTGAAGTTCAGTACTGGTAGTAGTATGAACGCAGCGAAACTTACTAACGAATCTAGCCTAAAGTGCCGCCGTTATCATTTAGCGGTTTTACGAGATGCTAGCGGTACTCTAAGATAAACAGGTCTCTGCTAGTTAACGCTTACCGATATCGGCGACTGCAGCAATAATCCGGCCATCGCGAACTGTTCCATTGCATTCATCAACTTCCCCTCCGTTTCGATGGCCTAATTATTTCAGCCTGTGTTTTGAATAATTCTGTTCGACGAAGATAGACATCTCGAGTGGCCTACGCTTACAGCTGCCAAGTTGAGTTAAGTAACGGCGTTTATTGGAATCGATTAAGAAAAGAGTTGTTTATGTCTTTTGTAGTACTCATTTACTAAATATCTACCTTATTAGGGTTCGTAAACGAGAGTTGACTGTGTGATAAAATTACCTAAACCGTAAAATATTTCGAAAGATCTTAGGTCGTAAGTCGCAATATAGAAGCTTGCGTTCAGCTGCAGTGATAACTTTAAACTCTGCCATAACTTCACCGCGGCCGCTTGTACGGTAACGCGCATGTACGGACGTGCTATTGAATGAATGGTTCTATCGGTAAATCCTAATCTGCTTGCGGTCATCACGGAGAGAGATTAATATTTAAATCTCTAGCTATTGCTAATTATATTTAGCCATTCGAAATAGCCCAACCTTCTTGTGTCACCTTGAGCTAAATGATAAGATGGGTCGTTACTTCGCCCAAATTAGGGCCAAAAAGCTCGAAAATGGCGGCTCACGTATTTCCGAATGGCAGCCGAAGTTGCTTCGTCTTAAAAGAGTGTCGCTAATGTTCGCTTGACTAAAATCGGCTACCGCTGAGTATCATATAGATACTGAGAAATCCGATGAGCTACGTCCTGTTTCCACATATGACGCAACGTAAACATACTGAACGTTGTATTAAAACTATAAAAATGGTCGATCAGACTGTTTTTCAGGCAGGCATCGTGTCACATTTACGACCATTGAGTTGAAATATTTTCGTTGAGCGAGATAGAAACTGCTAGTACAGAAGGAATGGCGGAAAATATTTTGCCTACTCCAGACCGCGCTTACGTCTGTGGCGTCGAGAAGGACATAAGCGACAAAAGCACGCGAGACTATTTTCTATCGTAGCCGTGACCTTCTTAGGTCCGTGTTGATTGACCGGTATTTTAGCGGTATTTGGTATTGACGTCCACCTCATATCCACGATAATAACAGACAGCCTCGAGAAAATGGAGAAACGATATCGCATTTATTCTGATCATTGCTCCTATTGCGTGTTTTCGATGACAACTGTGTGAAACAAAGTTCGTTTGAATTTCGCTAAACTCTGAGACCAGCTTTATTTCCTTACCTGCTACCTTAAAGCTATATTTGTTTACATTTACTTCAGATAACGGATACAATTTCAATTACTGTTAGTTCTAACAGCTTGGTTTACGAGTTCTTCTTTTGCCGACCATCGATAATGTACAACGTTGTATATTAACGTATTTTTGTTTCGAGTCATGGCTTGCAGCCCTTTAAGCGGCCGGAAAAGTCAGCGTCATATTTTAAACGGAATTGCCACCGATAATGGTATTTATTGAGTAGTCTTATAGCTCAATGCCGCCCCGTGCAGCGATACCGGATTAATCTTTGCTTCTAATAATATTGCGGATGGGCTTTTGAAGTCTTCTCTGGATCTCCTTACTTTAAGGCTGACGCCCGTTGAAAAGTATGTCGTTATGAGTTTACATTCATCCAAAGCCTCCAATGTCAGGGCTGGGAAAAGAATCAACCAATATTCGTTGCTGATTGCTGCACCGTACTTTATTGCCACTGTTTGCTAACGAAATATCTAAGCAAAGCTCGTCATGCTGTTAAAATGAACGGCGACTAATTCTGTATTTCGTTGGTTTCGTTTTCAGATTGTTGGATCGCCTCCCTATCGTTTCCTGGTTACCAAAATACTCGCTTGAGGATTTGTATGGTGACGCTGTGGCTGGTACTACAGTAGCATTGACAGTGATCCCTCAGGGTTTAGCGTTAGCCGGCGTAGCGAACCTGTCACCACAATATGGCCTATACACAGCCTTTATGGGCAGTTTTATTTATATCTTATTTGGTTCTGCCAAAGATTTGACAATTGGACCAACAGCCATTATGTGCATTATGACGGGACAATATACCAAGTTTGGCGGAGCGACCTATGCAGTTCTTCTCACGGTACTTTCTGGATGCCTTCAACTAGTGCTAGGTACGTGTCAAGCGGACACGGTGTCTTTAGTTAATAAGCTATCTTTGTGCCCGTTAATGAAACGCGTCGCAAGCGCTCGACAGGTCCGTTGGGTATTTTTCATATTTCTAAACGTCCAAATAAGTATTTATAGGCCTAAGGTTCTTAGTACAATTTTCTCATCAGGCATAAAAATCTATTGTGTCGTTTTCGAAATTATTCGTACCTACATACCCATATGTTCAGGGTAAATAAGTTGGGTGTACGTTGGAGATGAATAACTGGAATACACTAGAACACTCTTAAGCAGGCAGCTCGTTGTAGCTGGTATGCGCTAATCTGTTATCCTAGGTATTTGTAAAAAGCCAGTTTGTTTCTAAGGAAAAAAAAACGCAAACCCGCTCTGGCAGAGACGAACATTTCTCCTTCTTGTGCGGAATATCAGAAGAATATTTCTGAGGGCAAAACGGAAGATCAACAATAGGGGCTACATTGAAAGAGCTCAGAAACTAATCATAATGGCGCAAAAACCATATCTCACGATACCAAAATGCTGACACGAAATTTGCGACCTTTTTATAGAAAAGTATTATCTTTATAGAAAAGTATTTATGGTTAATTGTCTAAATGGGCCTCAGTGTACTTGATGTTTTGCACGATGTCATACTTTTCTGACTTCTTACACCTTCAACTTATTAACAACCCAAAGTTAATTCAGCTGGGTTTTTTGCGCCTGGCGTGCTCGGTCGAAACTTTAACGGTTTGGCTACTTGTACCGATATCTCTGACTGTTATATAGGTAGTGTAGAATACGGAGAAGGATGACTTGTAAGCTATTCAAATTTTGATTTGAAGCAGAAGGCCATTGCGTTCAATAGACATGTCCGTCAGCACATGCGAAACACTTAATTCAAACATTATATATATTAGCTCACGCTCAGCTAGGAAGTATTGACTCGTTTTTTTACGCGGTGTGATGCCGATCAGTTGTTTTCTTTCCTACCTAATGACTTGAATATGATTTACGCAGGTGTTGCGAGAGATAATTGCGGACGACGTTTTTCTTTCGTTTTTTAGGTTTGTTGAACTTAGGGTTCATTATGGACTTCATCTCTGGAGCAGTGATTTCGGCGTTTACTTCAGCAGGCGCACTTACCATTGCTGCTACGCAGTTGAAAGGTCTTACTGGCATTAAAATTGACGCCGAACATTTTTTTGAAGCCATCTATCAGCTGGTCGCGCGTTGTACGGGAATCAGGTACAAGCGCCATTAATTTTAAACGCTTTAGGATTCGCCATCTCAAATACGAATGTTATCCTAGGTTAAAGAACGTTATATATACAACAAATGACGGGATAAGGTAGCTATTAGTTGTAGTGTAAAACAAAAAAATTAGGCTAAATAAATTAAACGCTACATAAAATATAAGCTGTAAAAATATAAGCTCTATTTATGAAAGTTAACATTATCATTATCGTAAAGCGCACAACTATTTTTAGGGAGAAAACGTTTTTGCCATTCTTCCACTGTGCTTCCCGTCTCAATTTTTTAGTAACTCTAATCCTCCAAAGGAGCTAACAAGCATTATACTTTGGATGGTGGTTCCAGCTGGGCGGACACGAGTCTAGGAGTTGGCTGTATGATCGTCTTGCTGACTATGCGATACTTTCGTACCGCACAGCTTTCCGAAGGCACTTTCGGTCTTTCCAAAACGCTGTTGCGAGCGATCAACGTTACTTGGTGGGCGATTGTAACTACGCGTAACGTTATCGTTGTGCTTCTTTGTGGTGCTCTTACGGCTCTCCTCGAAGCCCAGGGAAAACGACCGTTTGCTTTGACCGGCAAAGTTCACGGTGGCCTGCCCCCGTTTAAAATCCCTGATTTCAGCTATACGTACTTCGACTCGAAGACTAACACTACAGAGACTAAGCATTTTGGGGAAATAGTTGCTGTAAGTAAATTTAACGAAGACTTCTGGGTTTAATCCGAGTCGGCAACGTTCCGTGAAAATGTGGGGGTGGTATGACGTCGACCTAAATTGACACTAGTCGTAAGTATTGACCTGCGCTGGTGGCAGCCTGCGTTGAAGAAGTTGAACGAAAAAGCAATTAGACTAAGTAGCGGTTCCACACTTATTCGAATCGTATTTGCTCATGTGAGCATAAATAAAATGTATTTATTTGCTTGTTTTAGGAGCTGAATGTCGGTATTTTCGTTATTGGTCTTTTGTCAATCCTTGAATCCATCGCGATTGCTAAAACGTTTGGTAAGTGTGGACACGAAGAGTGCTTTCTAGCACTTCATTACCAATTGCAATAGTAATGATAGAGGGAAACTTTAACATTGGCAGCAGTAATCGAGAAATGGAAAAAACTCACTAGTGCGTCATGCAAGAATCCCTAACGGGGGTACAGGACGTAAAACTTAATGTATTCAGTTATCCAGAGCACTTGTGGATGTAAAGGATCTTAACTTGAATATAGAATACTAGTTAATATAAGATTTATCCGGCGTTCATTTCAATTTCGACATCCGTTGCCTAAGCGCGTTCGTGTCAGCTGTGTCAGACGCTATCGGGATTTCCGATAACTGCACATGTCTGGTCGAGCCAATAAGATTAACAAAATCCTATAACGAACAAGGACTCAACCAGCCACAGATATCTGACCAATGTCTATTTCTTCAATCAGAGAAACGCTGTATTATACAAATTAAATGTATAATATGCAGGATAAACCTGTGATCTGTCTCAATTTCCATACCAGCGAAGGGAAAACGCATCAATGCGACTCAAGAGATGTTCGCTCTAGGTTGCTGTAATGTTGCCGGATCGTTTGTGTCGGCGTTTCCTGCCACCGGCAGCTTTTCCCGTACTGCCATAAACAACATGTCCGGTGTGAGGACGCCTATGGGAGGTTTTTTCACTGGTGCTATTGTCCTGGCTGCACTCGCCTTCATGTCACCATATTTTTACTTTATACCAAAGGTACGATAATCTCAACATTTTCCGATACTAAAAACTGTATTTATTTGTAATAGCTAGCAAAGATGAAAGACAAATAAGGTGAATCTTATTTTTGTTTATCGAAGAAATTTTAAATAATATATGATTATAGCTAACTTTACTTAGATCAAATTATTCAATTGACAACGCATGCGCACACTTACCACGTCGGCTTCTCATCGTTTAATATGTATGTTCGATTTTTTTTTTCATACTTCTATCTTAGGCGACTCTCGCTTCGATCATTATCACATCGGTGGTATTCATGGTGCATGTAGAGGACGTTTCCGTGATGTGGAAAACCAGCAGTACGTCGAGCTTTGTTCGAACCACATAAGACCGCTTAAGTTTACCATCTGCCTGCCCCCCTTTGTCAATAACGAAAAAGTTCTTATTTCACTTAGAAGGCTTCGAGCTGTGCAACAATACTTTTTGCCCATGACTTTGAATTACGTATTAGCTACGTACATATCCTTATCAATAGTAAACTGACCAGTAAAATGTGTACGGATTCGGCATCGCTATTTTGTTTTTCTTTTGTGGGCTTATTTTGTATTTTTGTCGTTGTCCTATTTCCTATTACAGAAACTGACCTGATCCCATTTGCCTTCACGTTCTTTGGTTCTTTCATCTTTGGTCTCGAATACGGGATAATGATGGGTGTCGTAATGGCAATTCTTCTTTTGCTCTACCACAATGCTCGGCCGACGGTCACCGTTGCTCATGTTAAGGTTCGAATCCACTAGCAGCAAGCAGTATACTAAACATAAATATTCAGTCCCTTTTTTACAATAGGACAACCGTTCAACGGGCTGAGTAATCGTTTGTTTGGTTGTACTCCCTAAACGAAGCGGTCGAAATAAGCTAAGCTGCTTAAAAGGAAACATCCTTGTATGACTATACTTAACTTAGCCGTTTGTAACTTGATGAACGTTTCTAATTTTTTGAAAATTCAGAGACTTACTCTATTATCGCATACTGTCAGAATGATTTCTTATATTCGACCATGCAGTTTACATGAAAAGTTTTATTACAATATTTTGAAGAAAATAGAAAAATTACTCGATTACGGTACCGTTAAATGGGGTGACACGAGACGTTTTTAAGATCCCTTCAATTTTGATGAAATTTTCATTGTGCATTATGTAGTAAGGGCATAGAAATATACGTGTGAGAACCGTTCCATTTTCCTGTGGTACTGAATCAGATTTTGGCTCGGGCAAAAGGTATCTTATAAGTAATTTCACTATACTCCATAAAACCCTTGTCTATTATGCATCAGTGCCTGATAGAGCATGACAAAAAAAGATATAAGGTGAACCAATCCTCATTCTGTAGAGGCACCTAGTTGAATCATTTGTTGACCACAGCCATGCAAGTAGTATCCTGTACACCGATAACCTGACAAGACTCGACATACGCTAGACCCATATTTTCTCTTATATTTTTACCGCTCTCTCCACCATGGCAAACTACAATAACTGCACTAATTATATACAAAAGTTACACTTGTTATAATAATATATCATTAATAAAATGTGCCAATTTACTTCCCTAATCATGCTTTTTGCTTATTCTGAGCTTACTACAACTGAATAGACATCGAAAATATTTATAAGCGGGGTCACTATCCCACTTCAGTGAATTATTCTCACGTTATCTTTTTTTTTTTTTTTTTTTTAAACAATAATCGTATTATTGATACCAGTTATTTTTAACACTAGATAACTAATGCATTGTTGATAACGGTGATTTTTTGTGGTTCTCCGTGGCTTACCGCATATGTCCGCCATTGTTGTTGTTGTTGTTGTCACTTCTATTTTGTGTGGGCTTCCACGTGTGCTGACTGTATAGGCGTACGGATCATCATCATATGTTCTTTGTCGCATTGACCGGAGCGTCCTGTTCCCATCTGCTCTTTATGCAACGGGCAAGATCGGTCGGAGGCTGAGGGAAAGCGTCTACGGGACCGAACAGGAACAAACACTTGTCGTCATCGATGGCTCCCATTTGCCCCGCATTGACTATACTACCTGCATGGTACGTGTCTTTATGATACTGTCACATCATATTTGCGCTTATTTTGGAACAGTGTTGTTCGGAAACCACATTTTCTTCTATAACGCAGTGGGCTTATTTGTATTTCAACGGAATTTAAACTGCAAAGCTTACATCCCACAGAAATGTGCTTTAATAGGAAGTTAACCAATCGTAGTACAATAGAATTATGCTGTTTTAGCTTATGATTTTTCGAATTACGGCAAAATTTCTACAGAAAACTAAAAAAATCCTTGCTCAAAACAGTCAGACAACGTCGGGTTGGCTAACCTTAGTCTTAATGCTTCTATAATCCACAGTCAGTATATACATATACCTGTGTTACCAATTATTTAACTAGTTTTTACTATCTAAGGAGTGAGTTTAAGGAGATGTCGTTATACGCTGGATACTAGATTAACGCTACATTTTTGTGCAACTGCTCCCATTAAACTAACCCGTTAACAAGAAAGATAAAAAAAAACAAGATCTTAAAAAGGTTAAAAATAATACGAGCTGATCATTGAGCCTTGTATGGTATTCATCCGTACGGTGAAACGCTAACACGTAAAGTTCGCTTATACAGACATGCGGTAATCGCCTGAGTCGTCCATCCGGTCCGATCGGACTTTTTGCGTCTGGATGCTATAGCGCTACCACTTCCTTGCACAGATAGTTTACATTGAATAACTATATAGATGCGGTAGAATATATCGTAATAATATGATAGCATCATAGTGTAACTATATATAGTTGCCCTTTTCATTTCGCATAAACTGTTTTTCATCCAAATAGCTATTAATTAGTCTGGGTGATTATTGAGGTGCCATGACAAATGGGCTTCTTTAGTTTATGTGAGTTTACCACATTGTAATGACTCTTTGACACTCGTCGTTTTGTACATAGCGTTAAAGCCTTTTAGGTAACATTTCCTTACCTTTTCGATATGAGCGGCAAGTTTGCGTTTTGGAAAAGATTCCGTGCATTTGGCCAAACAAACAAAATGATCATCATACAAAGGTAAGAACATTCGATTTGAACTATGACTGGGTCGAATCAAGACTGGATTCTAACGATTGAGAATGCATCTTTTAATTAAAAGTGACCGAGTTACGTTAGTATTTAAAGCAGGTATCGGGCTTTCTTGGGACAATCGGGTAAAATAACAGTCAGAACTAAACGTACACCGGCATATTCCTTCGATTTGTATTGAATCACTGTAGCACTGTAACTCAGCTACAATGCTTGTTATTTATTTTGAAACATCATGGTAAAAAAAAGTAGTCCATTCACGAGCAACTCAATTCCGTTCCACATAAATATATACAATCATGGGTCATCTTCATCGAGAACAAGGCGTTTCTTTGTCTTGTCTTCTTGCCAATTTACCAACACAGGGTACAGACTGTTTGAATAAAAAAAATCTAGCATGCTCATTCCAACTTCCGTAAAAATGACAGCTTTTATCGATTTGGCACGTTGCGCTCTAGTATTTAGCAACCGTTAAAAATTTCGATTCGTGTTTATTGTGAAACAGTTTATCTAAAAAAAATTGCTGAAATTTTTGCTGAAATACTATTTAGTATCTGCACAATAACATGACAATAGCCTCAATCCTAACTAGCAAGAGTTGTAGCAAGGATATCCTTCACACTCTGTTTTTCTTCTGGTAAGTCCACCACTCTTAAGCTGTCGACAAAGCGAAGTCGGATTAAAAAATATAAACATTTTTTCAATATGCTAACGCTGACTAAATACCATCAGTTATTTTGTTTTTTTTTTTTTGAATAGAATACGCCAGGAAATATAGGTAAGAAAGAGACGAGAATAAAGAACTATTTACTTTTTTAGTTAAAAGGCTATTTTTGATATATTCAAATTGAGTTTCTTATGATTTATCTAAACACACACGCTCTCACATCTCTAATCAATAATAGTAACACTCGCCGCATTGCTAATTGCGCACATGAGATTCTTCACTAAGCCCTTATACCAAGGACGCAAGTGATCATGCAGGATTCCAATAGACAACTGCTGAAAACTAATTTTACCAATTCGGGTTTTAATTTAGGACCTAACTGTCTACTTTTTTTTGGAACGTTTATATTGACGTGATTACGTAGATCAGATATGGAATCATACGATATAAAACAAATGCTTCCACAGTCTCTCCGTTTTAAGTAAAAGCTCATCTCTTTGTAATTCCACGGCATCCTTTGATTCAAATTGGTACATTATATAAGTTGAAATACTTCAACAGTTCTTCAGCTAAATAACATGTGTTTTTGAGGAGAATAACGGATGTAGATTGAAGAAGCTTTCCTTAGAAGTATGAATAGGTGACTATGTTTTATTTCACGCACACGTTACGAATCCTCTACTATTTTATGAAGTGATTTTCTGCGTCAATGGTCAATTTATTAATTATTCGTCCTATGGCAAAACTGCGAAAAAAAGAGATGACTTCAAGTTACAAATAGCGTACCGTATGTGCACACAGAAACGTAGTTATATGTGAATTTACCTATAATATTACCTACTCTGGCTGTCAGAGTCTGACTGTATTGTGCAATATAATAAAAAATAAAGTAGGTAATAGAAATATAATATAAAAAAAAAAAAAAAAAAAAGTATATCTTACTTCTTTATCAGAAGGCCAAACAGCGTAGCTGAATCTAGATTTTCATCGTTCTGTTATTATTATTATCACGAGCTCAGCACAGCCGTTCACCTCTATAATTTACCGGGCTCCCGCACGCCTATCAAGCAGGATTTTTTCCGCCAAATCTTACAGCCGTCACTTGGTTTCGCGCCTCTGCAATCATTTAAATTCGCTGTTCACTTCCCCACCCGCGCCACTGCTGTTACCGCACTCGCGATTCCCTCTCCATAACAACTAGCCGCTGCTGCTGCCGCCGCCGCCTTTGCCGCTGACCAAACTGCGACCAATCGATCCATTGGCTGTCGGCCTGCGAAGCAGCGGTGGGTCTTTAAAGGAGTACTTAGTGAGCCAGTGCGAGAGCGTGCGGTGCTGTGTTTACGCTTTGCTACTGCTCCTGTGGGCTACTTCAAGCATCTCGGTGCAGCCGAAAGCTGCTGCTGCTGTTGCTGTTTGGTCGGTGCTACCATTCCAGTATTTTGTTGCATGCTGCTTGGGTCTGGTGGTGGAAAAGCAGCGGAAGCAAAACTGGTCGTGGTTTGGTTGCCGTGAAGCGCTGCAAGCCAAGCCCAACAGTTCGAATGGTGCCCGGTCGCGAGGCCGACCTTGCAGTGGGCAAGCTGTGACGGGCGGGCCGCGGCTACAGCGAGTGCTGTCTGTCTTTGTCACCAGTAAACGACGTCGGTTTGGTCTATTCCTCACGGTAGCGATCAATTGTGCTGGTCGTACAGCTTGTTTATGTGTGTGTGAGCAGTGCTGAGTGCTGTGGTGTGCTGAGTGCCGTACTGTTGTACGGTGCCCACTGGTTGTCCTGTCACCAGACCAGTTCGTTACGAGTCGTTAGTGACTACGAGTGGTCAGCGCGTCGCAACAAAGCTTTGTCCATACCAACACCGTTATGGGACCGATCAAGGTTCGCAGCCGAAAGATCAGTATTGTGCAGAACCTAGCCAACCGTCAGCTGTTTGGACGGTTAGCGGTTAGGGAGCATGAACGGCCGCCTCGGTTAATCCACACAATACCGAAACGTCTGGTCTGTCGCCTCAAGGACATCATCCCGAAGTCGGAGTTTGCCAAAGGCCATGTCTTTCTGGGTTTTCTACGTGGTGGCTACTATCTCGTGTCTTACACACGAACAGAGATTAGCAACAATTTTTTAATGCCGTCGTTCCGTTTTCAACTGCAGTTCTGGTTATTCTATCCGGGCCAGGAGCTGCAGCTTGTTCGAGAAGTTGTACTATTCGATGATGAAACGACATGTGACTCAATGTTCATCACCGTGTCTCAATGGCCCCACGACAATTCTAAAGTGCTCGTTGTCGGGTACTCGCTCGACCTGTTTAACGGTGAAAATCATCAAAGTGTCGTTCAACTAACGGTGGCCGCTATACCACCATTGGCTGCGTGCATCGAATGCTCGAAGCGGAAGGGTTCTAGCTGTCTGCCACACGGCTTTCTGCTGCATGGCGTATGTAGCCTCGGGGGCAACGCCGTAACCAACCCGAAAATAATGGGTTGCGTTAAGGACCACATTCTTGTCAACACGTCTTCCTCACTTATCTGTTACCACTACCAGCACCGGGTCGTCGAAGAGAAAACGAAGGATACCAGTTCAAACGAGCAGCCTGTGATCTCACCGCCAATGAGTCCTCTCAATGAGGAGGGTCAACCTGTCGAAGAGCAAAAATTACTTCAGTGGCATTTGACTCGACTTCGCGACCCGCAGCCAGCTACCGGATCGCGCAGCGATGACAAGGACGGCGACGATGCCGACGATGTTGATAATTTGAGCGAAGGCTGGCGGACCCCGACGTCCGATGACGAGGTAGAAACCGAGCAGAACAACCAGCTCTTCTGCATACCGCAACCAATGCAGGAAGCTGTCAATTGGAAGTTCCCACCTGAACTATCGAAGCAGACAATTGTCTACTTTGTCGAGGGGATTCCATCGCGCGAGAAGGGTAACATCTCGCTCTACAACAATCGGCTAGATAGCGCTCTCTACCTGCATCCGCAGCTACCCGCCGGCAGTGATGAATTTATTCAGGTGAAGGAATCTAGCCTTGACCTCGATCTCTGCGCTCATCTCATTTCAGAAACCTTTTGTAAGGCCAATAAAAAGCGATTAATTCAGATCTCAAACTATGACGGCCGTGTCATCGATCTCTGCCCTTACTCGCGCCTGGTTACGGCGTCTCTGTGCATCCAACTACAGGCTACCACCCCGCAAAACTTCCATAACTACCGTGAGCGTCTGACACATATATTCGAGTTATTCGTCATTCTGAGATGGTCCATCGTATCGACAGAGCTACGAGTACTGCATCTTCAACAAAGCCTGACA